ATATTGTATATATGTACAGATGTAATACAATAGAAAAAAATCAAATTTGAAAAAAAGAAAATTAGTTGTATTAAATTATGAAAATCTATTGAAACAATAAATAGTAGAAAAATATACCTCTCGTGTTACTAAAATTCACATTTACAGGACATGGTAAAACTTCCATGTCGAAAGATATTACACATACACAAATAGCACAGGATACGGTTAATGTCACAATGACCTTCTTGAAATACACAATATAAATACACTATATTATTTCTTCAATACTATGAATGTATTCAATGCTTCAATATTATATTTTCACTAATAATAATTCAACAATTTTTATAAAGCCGACAAAATCACTCTTTTTAATTATTTAAATATAAATATCAGTACAATCGTAACTATCCTTTCTCTTTAACTTTCACTGGAAACTGCAACACTATATCGTCAAATACAACACATCTCTACTTACATCATGCTTTAGACCGATACAACTGATTTGTCGACCAATGATGACGCGTCTTTTATATAAACACTCCCCTCCTTCTTAATTTTTCCCTTCCATCGTTCTTTAACAGACCGCCTAGCAACACCAGCTACGTGATGTTTCGCACTGCATCCACTTCGGGTGTTTCCGTTTCTTGTCGTTCGGATATCTTCGGTTCTTAATACATATGCTTTCCTCCATTTCTTCTGATTGTCCAAAACATCTCATTTCAACTTAATCACATAGTATTTTCAACATTATTATGTTCTTTTTTTTATTTTAATCCATTTACTTTTTTGTTATTTTTCTAAAATCTAACTGCAAAAAATTTTTGTTTAATTATTAAAATATTAGTAGAATAATTTTAATTAATTATGTACGCAATTTAATAAATACATTCTTTATAATTAACTTTTTAACATTTTTAATTTATAATATTTTTAAAATCAATTAAAAAGTAATAATAATCTTTTTATTAAACATTTCTATATTTTAATTATTTCTAGATTATTTTTGATTGTATCTTTATTTATTCTATTATTATTATTTGATGATTAATCTTTTTAGATTCTTCTTTTTCTATTTTTTAAAATAAGTCATCGATATTGTTTTTTTTTTCTTTGTAATAAGATCTAATAATGTAAATATATCTTTCATTAAATCATACTATCATTTATATCCTCACTTAAAATACAAACAATTGATATTTGTAAGAATAAAATTAAATAATTAAAATGAAAATTACATTTCTCAAAATATTCATTTTTAAAAAAATATATTTTTATATTCTTAATTTTTTTTATATATAATATGTCTTAAAATATATATATATATTTTTTATTTGTAGTTTTATTTTAAAAGATTATGTTATATATAATTTTATAGAATACGGTATATTTTCGATATAATAAATCTATTTCAGTAAGATAATCAAATATTACTTTTTTTAATTATTTTTTGATTATCCAATATATTATTATAAAAATTATATTTTTATAACAATTAATAAAAATTTGCATTCATGTTCTACATATGTATGAACAACATATAATAAGTAACTAAGTAGTCATCGATCAAAAAATGGCTGGCTAATAATTGATGATGACTACATAATAGTTAATGCCAGTAATAATAGTAATAATATTAAAATGGAAGTGTGAATTGAAATTGTAAAAAAATTAAAGCATGTATTAATCAGTATTTCTGTATAAATTAATAAAAAACATATATTTAGGTATTCATTAAATATGAATATTATAAAAATTATATCAAGATTTGATTGTTAGTTTAATCCTAAGTTTATTTTATAATAAAATTTTATTTTAATAACAAAATTTTTTAGCTAGCATAAAAATATATAAATACTTAAAAATTTTCACATAAAAGTAGAAGAAAAGATAATATTCGTACACAAATATAATAATAGTTTCTCATATTTTAAATACTTAGCCCTTCTTGTGTTTTTATCTACTCTTTATAAAAATAGAACTAACATGAACGATGATACAACTGCTTTTCTATCATACATTATACGTTCAATACGTATACAATATATGTTGCTTGATTGCTACCTTACGTGAATTCATGTTTCATGCAAAAATATTTATTTTTTCATTAAATAATTTTAAAAGATAATTTGTTTTTATTCATTTGTTTTATTCATTTAAAATTATTAATAATAGAATTAATCAAAAGAAAATATATATAGATAAACAAATTGATCTATTATTAAATTTATTTTATTACAGAATTTATTCTACTTACTATTTTCAAAAGTAAGTAATTTTTTGAATCAATTTTATTTATACTATTTATATTTCAAGAAACGAATAACATTTTGCTCTAAAAGAATAATAAATTTTATAATTGCTAATTTTTTTTCTTTCTGATGTAATATTAATAAAAATTGCTTTGAATCAATTTGAATTGAAATAAAATTATTCTAATAATTTTTCTAATAATTTTTATACATAAAATAATCTTATAATTAATAATTAAATCAACAGATTTTATTTTAATATCAAGTAGTTTATACATATATCGATAAAAAATATTTCCATACTATATCTATATATGTATAATATAGTATGCGCATGCGCTCATATGATTGCATAGATTCATACATATGTGTATACTAAAAGAATATGAATATAATGAATGTTAGCGGATAATATAAATTTTTTTTTAAATTTTTTCGATTCAAAATTTTGATTCAAATCAAAAATTTCAATTCACATTTTATATTAAAATTATATTTTATAATTAAAATTATATTGTTATTATGATATTTTAAAATCATCAATTCGTTTCTCTTAATCTTTTCTTTAAATTTGATTTATTCTTAATTTAATTAAACTTTATTTTGAAGTATTAAAAATTTTGATTTTTTTTTATATTTTTTAGCAAGTAAAATCTAGAAATCTTAATTGATGGAATTCATTAATTCAAAATTAAATGTATATAAAATTGTTTTTTAAATATTTTATGATTACATTTACACTATATTAACATTTTATATAATAATTAAACAATAGAAATACTGACATATCAAATTCAAATTATTTTTTTTTGTTAAAGAATTCAAATTCTAAAGATTGTCCACGAATACATTATTAACATCTTTTATAATATGACATCAATTTGATGATTAATGATCAGTAATCCAATTATGATAAAAATATAAGATTTATAAACATATATTTTTTAATTTAATGTTTTAACCTATCTGTCAAGATCTATACTTTTAAGTTTTTTCATTAAAATATAAAAATGTAAATTTCTATTAAAATAAAATTTCAGCTTTAATTACATAAAACATAAACTTATAATAGATATATTAATTTTTGTATAAAACGTTATTATATATATTATTTGAAAAGTAATAAAGTAACTTATAAAAAAGTAACATAAGTTGATAGTATGATAATATTTAATAAATAAATTGCAAAATTTGTTATTTTTGACAATTATTTTTAATGATAATAAATTATTAAATCAATAATTTGATTATGAATGTAATCATGCATACTTTACAATAGATTACAATTTATTTAAGTTTATATAAACTTTATATGTTTTTTTATAAATTTTTTATAAATAAATTCAAATATTTTTATATCACAAAAAATAATTGTGAAAATAAAATATCAATTTTAAATACAGCGAATATTGAAATCATATTTAGAACAAAATAATATTATTTAATATTACTATTATTTATATTTAAGTAATAATATTACTTGATATTACTATAATTTTTTATATAATAATTTTAATTTATTTTATATATAAATTATATATAATAATTTTAAGATTTTATTAATAAAAAAATTTTATAAATTCATTATATTATAATCGTCTATCAAAAATTCTATTTTAAAATATGTTGATTTTTCATATTACTGTGAAAAATTCTTGTAACTAACGCCCTCTATTAAATCATCATTTGTTCAGTGAGTTTAATGAAAAATGTCATCGACATCTTATGACGTATATTACAATTTTTAAGTTGACAACAACAAAATGGAATATTTCAAAAGTAGCTTAAAATCTGTCTTGGGTTCTGCATCTGTAGAAAATGAACTATCAGGCGGTGATACGGTATTTTGAATTTTTTAACAAATTAATTTTGTACTTTTAGTCTTTTTAAATGGTGTTTGTTGTATTTTAACACATGGTCACAATATTTTCATGTAAAAAAATAATTATTAATTATATTATTGTTTTATTTAATTAAACAATTGTATTTCATTATGTTATGAATTAATTAAAATAATTGTACAGGTAGAGCGATTAGTAGACAGGTTACAATCATCGACATTATTAAATGATAGACGAGATGCTTGTCGAGAACTTAAAACTCTTTCACGAACTTACCGTGTTGAAGTAGGAGCTCAAGGAATGGATGCATTGAGACAAATTTTAGAAATGGATAGAACTGATTGTGAAATTATTGGTTTGGCATTAGATACTCTTTGTAATATAACAAATCCCAAGACATTTGATGAAGAAGGTAATATCTACGTATATAATATAATAATTATATGCTTATATAAATTTTATTATTTTTTATATATTTTCAGTTGATAAGCATGGACGCAATAATAAAATAGGAGAACAATTTACTGAAATATTTATTAAAAATACAGATAGTGTAGGATTAGTATTAACACTCTTGGAAGAATTTGAATTTAAAGTTAGATGGCCAGCATTAAAATTATTGATGTATTTGTCTACTAATAGACTAAAAGATATACAAGAAATAATTTTAGTTAGTCCTATGGGTGTTTCTAAATTAATGGATCTTCTTGGTGATAGTAGAGAAGTTATACGTAACGATGTACATTTTTATAATTTTCTAATATAAAAAGTTTTGTTTATTGAATTAAAAATTTATATATTAAAAATTATATTTTGTAATATTTTAGGTTTTATTACTTCTTATTCAATTGACAAAAGGTAATGCAAATATTCAAAAAATTGTTGCATTTGAAAATGCATTTGATCGTATTTTTGATGTCATTGCACAAGAAGGTAATGTAGAAGGTGGTATTGTTGTTGAAGATTGTTATTACTAATGTTAAATCTTCTAAGGGGTAATATAAGCAATCAAAATTTTTTTAAAGAAGGTACATATAATTAACTAATTATTTTATTATATCAATGTGAAAATCAATATTATCATTATTATAATTATAAATCAATATATATTAGGCAGTTATATTCAAAAATTAACACCAATGTTTCAAATATCATCTGAAATTGATGATAATCCTCTAAGTGCATGGAGTCCACAGAAAGTATCAAATGTTCATTGTATGGTCCAAGTGATTCGTGCATTAGTAGCACCAAGTGGACCTGCACAGGTAATTGCTTTAAATAATAAATATATATATTTCTTGTTTTTCTTACATATTTGAATATTAAAAAAATCTTATATTTAAAACTAATGTATTGATTTATGATATATACATATAAAGGCAGTATCAAATTGTCAACGGATTATGAAAGCATGTGGACTTTTACAAGCTTTGTGTAATATATTGATGGCTAGTGGTGTACCTGCAGATGTCTTGACTGAAACTATTAATACAGTAGCTGAAGTTATTAGAGGAAATTCCAATAACCAAGAATTTTTAGCTGGAGTAATGGCACCTAGTAATCCTCCTAGGTACTCTAATACTAAACAATAAAATATTCAAATATTTTAAATTTATTGCATTACTATATTATAAAATTTGCACATTTTTTGTTTTTTTTTAGACCTGCAATTGTTGTCTTACTTATGTCTATGGTAAATGAAAAACAGCCATTTGCTTTAAGATGTTCCGTTCTTTACTGTTTTCAATGTTTTTTGTATAAAAATGAAATAGGACAAAGTCAACTTATTCAAACTTTATTGCCTCAAGGAAATGAAGTACCATCATTGACAACAGGTTTGTTTTTTTGAAAAACTATTTTCGTTTATTTTATAAATTTTCTTTTCAAAATATATTAAATGATATAATATAATAGGAATATAAAACGAATAAAAAATATTTTATAAATGTAATATTGCTAGGACAGCTGCTATGTGGAGGTCTATTTTCTTTGGATTCTTTATCAAATTGGTTTTCTGCTGTAGCATTGTCTTATGCATTGATCGATGACAACACACAAAAAGAACAATTATTACGTGTATTGCTTGCAACAAATATTGGAAAACCACCAGTAACTTTGATGCAACAATGTGTCATGTTACTGCAACAAGGAAATAAAACACAATGCAAATTAGGTCTTCTAATATTACTTTGCAGATGGATTGCACATTGTCTAAAAGCTGTAAAATCATTTTTGCTTATCGATTCATCCATAGCTTATTTAACAGCATTATTGTCATCACAGGAAAATAATGATGATTTGCAAGAAACATTATTACAAAGTATGTGTGCCATGCTTATTGGATTGTGTGTACATTTTAATGACAACAGTATTTCTAATTATACAAAGGTAACGAAGTTGTAAGATATAAATAAAACAAGACATTAAAAAACTATATTACATTTATTACATTATTACATTTTTTTTCTTATTTTATTTTAGGAAAAATTATGTAATTTAATAGAAAATAGAATAGGATTAGAAAGATTTCAAGATGCTATCAGTGGTCTTGCTAGACATGAAGTGTATTCTAGAACTTTAAAACATCCTCAACCTTCAGCAAAGAATCCTTCAGAACTTTTATTAGATCATGAATTTTGTAGATTATCAAAAACATTAGAAGGTAATTACTAATCATATTTCTATATTATTTTGTTAATGCAAACTTTAGAATTTGCAATTTTTAGGTGTTATTATAAAGTCTGTTCTAGACGGAAGTAGTTTACATAATAAAAATCAAATAACAACTCCTACATTACCAGACTCTATTTTAGAAACACAATATAAAGAAGTTATTCGAGAACAAGATTCTCAAATACAGAAACTTAATCAACTTGTAGAATCACTCATTAAAGAAAAACACGAATTCGAAGTATAGTATATATATTTATAAATAAGATTTTATAACGAAATAAAATTTATAAATCCTTAATTTATAATTATAATTTATAATTAAAGATTGATAATATTATTCAATATAGGCACAGATACATGATCTTCAATCAACTGTCAGTCATTTAAAAGATCAAAATTTAGTTTTACGAGCAGCACAAACTAATTCACTATTAGAAGAAAGTGAATCCAATAATGTTGCAACCAATGAACTTTGCACACAAGAAATAGAAAAGAATAAAACTTTAATTACAGAATTAGAAAATCGTTTAGAAGAATATGCATCAATGATAAAAAAATACGAAAATGATTTTGAATATAAAATAAAAGAAAAATCTGAGGAATTAGAGAAATTAAAAAAAGATCAAGAAGATCTTTTAGAACTTTTAACGGAACAAGATAGTAAAATTATACTTTACAAAGAAAGATTGGTTGCATTAGGTGAAAAAGTATGTAATTCTACATAAAAAACTTTTATGTATATATTTAGATATTTATGCATTTAGATAAATAATAACAGCTTATAATTTTAATATTTATTCTTCATCTTTAGATTGAAACAGATGAAAGTTCTATTGAAATAGACACTGATGACCAACCAGAATATATCAATTCTGTTGATCGTGTTGATTGATGTAAAGATCTATATGACTAATTTTAAAAAAGAATTATAAAAGTAATAATAATGAAAAAATTTTTATTTCGATGATTTTTTATTTTTTTGTTTTTATCTTCCATTTGTTTAAAATAATAAATTATTGATAATAAATCAATAGATTTCTTATAACATTATTATAACATGATAAATTATAAATACAAAAATTAAATATTATTTTTATTACATATTATATTGTACAAGATAATTATTATTTATATAATATAATATCTTTAAAATATAGAATTTAGAAAAAATAAATACAAAAAATGATATATAAAAAAATTGTTTATATCAAGTTTTAAAATATTTAAGTTTACATTAGATGAAATGAAGCAGAAATAAAACAAGATAGCAATGTGACAAAAGTTGTTTCAGTCTATTTTTATCTTGTTTTGTCTAATATAAATTTAAATTGTTTTTAATTTATAAGTCTAATTTAACTAATAAGATTCAATCAATATTTTTATACATCAATTTTATGTTTATTTTAGAATCGATTCTTTAAAAATATTCCAATATATCTATATATATTTTATTTTATATATTATAAAAAATAAAATTATTAATGAATAAAGGGATAAATATTTAAATAACATTAATTGAAAACACATAGATATCAATCATAATGATTTAAATTAAATTTAATTAAATTATTTAAATTTATATCTTAAAGAATTAAATAAAATACAGAATATTTATAATTTCCGAAACGATATAAAAATAAATGTTGTAAATAATAAAAGGCAATCAAGGAATTAGAATTGATTTTGAAAATATCCACAAATAAGATTAAATATTGTGTATCAATGAGTAATAAAAAGAAGTATATTCCTTGCCGTAACATTCTTGATTCCCAAATACCAACTTATTACACGTAAATATTTTAAATTAAAAAATAAAAATTTTAACAAACATATATATATATTCTATTAAATTAAATATTATTTATATATATTTAATGAAACTATATATTATTACATATTTACCATAATACAATATGTACTAATTTATATATATATATGTATGTCTATAAGGTGTTTTCTCGTTGCTTAATAACTGCTTGTACACATTTTGCCATTGTTTGCGAAGCACGAGATATTGCATCTGTCATAAAAAAATTATCTAATGTTTTCTGTTTAACTTCTATTGGATTAGAAGACAATGAACTTGACACTTCCTATAAAAATCAAATATAAATCAGTATTATTTATTATATAGCAAATCTCATTAAAGTATGTTATTTACTATTTTTAAAAATTTTTTAAAATTTAAAATTTAAAAAATATTTACCTTTGATAATTCCAATACTTGAGTGAAATAATTAGTTGATTCTATAGTATCATATCTAATTAAATGTGGTGCTATTTCTTCCAATCTAGATCTTATTTCAGCCAAATTGTCATAAGGCAAACAAATTCCACAAATCTATAAAAATATTAATTATTTTCTTTTCTCCAACTTGCACTTTATATTTAATATCTTAATAATTTAAGATATTAAATTAATAATATATTTATATAAATAATAATAATATATTAACTAAATTACTTCAGAAAGAGCTCGTATGATTTTCCAATCTGGTCGAGCCATACCCGGTGGTGTAATTGCAGCTTGAGTTTGTTGTGCACGACCTTCTGTATTTACATATGTTGCAACTTTTTCAGTATATGCAGCTCCAGGAAGTATGACATCTGCAACTGAAGCTCCTTCATCACCGTGACTACCTAAACCATTACCATTAATAAAAATTATTATTTATGTTTTGTTAATAAATAATATTATTACATAGTATAACATATATAATAAATAATATTTTTTATATACCTATATATACGATAAAAGTATTCGGAAAATCTTCTTTTTTAATATTTGAATCGTCAGCTGATAACAAAAAAAGAATTTTCGGTTGTTGCTCTTTAACTTCTTCAATAGATGATGAATAACCCACATCTAAAGCTGCCACTTGTGATGCATTTGTATGAAGAATATTTAATACTTTCCATTTTTTGGGAGCCTAATAAAAAATATATAATCAACATTCCTATGATAATTATGCATATAATTGTAATAACAAAAGATATTTTTATCATTCTTTTCTTACTTCTATGTTTTCTCCTATAGTTTGTGCCAATAATTGTGTTTCAGATAAAATTTTTGCTCCATCTTTTCTAGTTAATTGCTCAACACCCAAGATAATTAAAGGTTCTTAGCAGATTTTAAAGTACTTGAAAATGAATGAGTACCATTTTTTAACTGTGTTATAATTTCTGGAGATTGACCTAAATGCTAATATTTAAATAATATTGGTTTTAAATAAACATTAGTTAACAGAAAATAATGATATATCAAAATATATATTATGAGTTTCTTCACTTACTTCATAATCATAAGTTAAATCTATTTTCGGACCAATTTGCGCAATAATTTGTTCACCGTGAATATATCCTTTTCTTATTCGAGTATTAACTAAAGGTGCTTCATATCTTGGATTAGTACCAATCAATAATACAACATCAGCCTCTTCTATTGCAGCAATTGTGTTATTTAGTAAATAATTATTCTTATATCAATACCTGTGCCATGCTTTGGAAAGTTTTGTTCTGTTGCAAGAATTTCACTGCCAAGTCTATTTACTAAATCTTTCAAAGCCACAAGAGCTTCAGCATCAGCTAATTTTCCAGCAATTACAGCACATTTATTTGGGGCTATATTACGAATAACTTGAGCAGCTAAAAAAAAGTATATTATCTTAATATAGTAAATAATATAATATCTCAATATACTATTATATATAAATAATGTATTATATATAATATATATATATATATACATATATATATTGGGTAAAATTATTTAAAAAAAAACATAATAAGATTTAAGAATTTAGAATATTTAAAAATATCATAATTATATATAACATACTTGCTACAAGAGCATCTTCCCATTCAACAGCTTCTAATTTTCCATTAATTTTTATCATAGGAGTTATAAGCCTTTGACGTTTCAATCCATCATAAGAAAAACGAGCTTTATCAGATAACCATTCCTCATTTATTTCCTGTATAGTATACCATGAAAAACATTTATAAATATATTCATCAAGAGTTATCACATTAACAGTACCTCATTAACTCTTGGTAAAATTCTCAAAACTTCACCCGTCCTATGAGATATAACTATATTACTACCAACAGCATCAAGAACATCAATACTATCTGTACGACGTGTTTCCCATGGACGAGCAACAAAAGCATATGGTTTACTTGTTAACGCTCCAACAGGACATAAATCAATAATATTACCAGATAACTCAGATAAAAACATTTTTTCTACATATGTTCCTACCTATTATAATAAATTTAGTAATAGTTGATATAATTCCAATAATAAAACTAAGAATAAAAAATTGTTGGACATACTTGCATGTCATTTCCACGACCTGTAGTTCCTAAATCATCAATACCAGCAACTTCAGATGCAAAACGAATACATCTTGTGCAATGAATACAACGTGTCATAACTGTCTTTATTAAAGGACCAATATCTTTATCTTCAACTGCTCTTTTACCACTATAATTAATATCAACAAACCTACTCCGATCACTACCAAATGCCATACTTTGATCTTGTAAATCACATTCACCACCTTGGTCACAAATAGGACAATCTAAAGGATGATTTACTAATAAAAATTCCATGACACCTTCCCGAGCTTTACGAGTTAAATCAGAATTGGTTTTTACTCTCCATCCTTTCATTACTGGCATAGCACAAGCTGCAACAGGCTAAATATTTATACAATAAAATACATATAATTCTAATTGAATTTAATTGTTCATCAACATATATATATATATATATGTTATATATATCTATATGACATATATTAAAAAGAAAAAGAATAAATACCTTAACCTGTTTTTCAATTTCCACAAGACACATTCTACAATTTCCTGCTACAGCTAAACGTTCATGATAACAAAATCTAGGAATTTCTACTCCTATTTTTGCAGCAGCCTAAATATGACATTAAATAATAATGTAAAAATTTTTTATTAAATATTTTCATTTAAATTAATATACTAAATATAAATTAATAAATTAATATATTAAATATAAATAATATTTGATCAATAAAAAAGGTATATTACCTGCAAAACAGTTGTTCCTGGTGGAACTTGAACTGGTTTGTCATCTATGAATACTTCTACTAATTCTTGCTGAAATTTACACAATGTCGTATGTAATCCTACGGTAGGAAATCTGCCATTCTGTAATCCCGTAGATAATTTTATCACGGGAAATCTTAACATTTTGGTCCAATTACTTTGTTAGACGTCAACGTTATGCTGTTATGTAAGAAAATTTTACCATTTCAAAATTTACAATATATATAATAAATATAATAATCTAATTTATAAATAATAATAAATAATAATCTAAATTTATAACTAATCATATTTTTTTTAATCGTTATAAAATGAATAAATCAATATATATTAAGTATTAATAAATATATTCTAATATTATAATTAAAGTATTCATCTTAATTTGTTTAATCGAATTACCAAATCTTTATCCGTTATACAAATTTTTCTTAAACTTCGCGAACCTAAAATGGACGATCTACAGAATAAATCCAAAATAGGATTCACCACAAATAATATATGTATTGTTTAATTATATATTTTCGAACATTGACAAAGTAGTATCTGCATGATACGAGTTAATTTTAGAATGCATTCTTCGCGACATCTATCAAAAAAGATTATTACAATATAAATATAAATTCAATTATAAATGATAATTATTCAATTTTATTCAAAAAATTCTTTATAATGATGATTTAAAAATAATTCTGAAGCGTGAATTCATATGCATAAATATGTATATAGCTAAATATACATGTATATAAATTTGAGATTTTTAAAATGAAATTTAAAAATAAGTAAATATCATTATAATTTAATTAATTTTATAAAAAAAAAAGTACAATAGATTAGATAAAAAATTTATGAATATCTCTATCAAATCTCTATGAAGTATAACAAATTTAAAAAAAATAAAATATATAGAGATATTGTCTAAATAAAAATTGAAAAATTATAACATACAAATTAATTATATTTTAGAAAAAAATAATTAAAATAATTAAAATAATTTTACAATTAAAAAATTATAATTGATAGTTATTCTCTAGTTATTTTATTATTTCCCAAGAATTGCCGGAATGACGTCATGTTACAAAATAATGAACCGTCAATTTTTCATTGAACATAGCACCGTTTTCCGGTAAGCAGATAAGGGAGACAACATTACAAATAACTTCAGTTAAGTATCTAACATTTTACTTAATCTTCCACTATGGGTATTGGTGATCTTAAAACTGATAAAGGTATCAAAGATTTAAATTCTTATTTGGCAGATCATAGTTATATCGAAGGGTAAGTGTATTTTTTTATTTTTATAAAATTTATATTGAAATGCACGTGGTTCTATACTTACCAATATCTTAAGATCATCGAACCATTAATTCATTTTTTTTTTCATTTAATTTTTATATGTAATACTTCAATTATATATATATATATATATATTTTTATATTTTAGTACGTGTTTTTAAAAAATATCAAACATTTTCTAACATAATAATTTATTCCATTTATGTGCATATTAAAATATAAATTAAAATTTAAAAAAATGTAAATATGAAAAAGATAAGAAATAATTTATAGATTGATAATTAATAATATCAGTTTTTATAATTTTTTTTGAATAATTTTTCATAGAAAACTAAAGCAAAATTTGAGGAAATGAAAAGAAAGAATTATAAAACTGTAATGAAAATAGAAAAAAAATCATTGAAAAAATGAATAATATTTTGAATAATATCATCAATGAATATGAAAAAACTGTCTTTGAATTTTTTTTCAAAAATTCTGATATTATTTATTTATTAATCTAATATATTTATAATAAAATATATATTGTTTATATTTTATATATATATATATATTTTAAATTCAATAAGAGTATATATATAATTTTAATAGGAATGTCAAACATACATTATTATATTTTTAAGGTGGCAACCTACTCAAGCAGATGTAGTAATTCTAGAAGCTTTAGGAAAAACTCCAACATCTTCAAATCCTCATGTTTTACGATGGTATAATCACATCAAATCATATGATTTAAAGACACTTCCAGGAGAAAAGAAAGCACCTATCATATTAGGTAGCAATAACACGGCAACAGGAAAGAATGAAGAAGATGACGATAAAGATGTAGACCTCTTTGAATCCGATGAAGAAGAAGATCCTGAAGCTATAAGACTTAGGGAAGAAAGATTAAGAGAATATGCAGAAAAGAAATCTAAAAAACCAATACTCATTGCTAAATCCAGTGTTGTATTAGATGTTAAACCATGGGATGATGAAACTGACATGAAGGCTATAGAAGAAATTGTGAGATCTATTCAAATGGATGGTCTAACTTGGGCAGCATGTAAATCATTTTGCTGTTTTCAAAATCAAATCAAAAATTCAATTTTACAAAATTATCAGTTTTATACATATTATGTTTCCAGCTAAATTAGTTGCAGTGGGCTATGGCATTCATAAGTTCAGGATAATGTGCATTATAGAAGATGACAAGGTATCAGTAGATTCACTGATAGAACAAATAGAAAGTTTTGAAGAATATGTTCAATCTGTTGATATTGAATCATTCAATAAATTATAAATAATTGTTTATATCTATTATCTCCAATGTAAACTTAATAAATAATAATCATTGTTTGTATATATATTATATATATATATAATTTATTATTGAACAGAAAAATTAGTAATTTCAATGATAATATTAATAAAATTGTAATTATGATATAATATTAATGATATTGCTTCAATATTTATAATAGACGATTTAAAAATTGATATTTTATTTTGTATGTTTTTGTTATTACAAAAAAACTTAAAAGTAAAAAATATAAAAAAGAATTGTCATTTTAACTAAATGAAAAACATTAAAAAACAATGATAAACAAATTGTTTAAAATTAAATTTCAACTTCATATAACTTCATATAAGATAAAAAATATAAATTCTGAAATTTTGATAATATATTTCAAAATTCAGATTCTGATTTTGCAATGTAAAAATAATAATTTCAATGTTTTATCTATATAGTTTTATCAAAAATCACGAGATGTTATTTATCACATATACTTTACATATATATAAGTACAATGTTTGGAATATTATCTATTAAGTTAAAAATTTGTATTAATTAATATAGATAAGTTTCATATATAGATATTTTATTATTCATGACAAAAAGATCCAGATATCCGCTGTATTCGCTTCAGTACTGGCATGACATAAATATTACTATATTTTTTTGCAATAGAGAAAATTACAATATTATTAAAACATTAAAATATTTTTGCAATTAAAATAAAAATTTAATATGAAAGCTTTAAATACTAATATAAAAAAATTATTAAAATTATTATTTAATTGCTATCAAATATTTCAATAAAAAATTCAATAAACTTATAATAAAATCTTTAATATTTAAATTATCATAGTATTTATATTATCATATAATATTTGATCAAACTTAAAATTTTATTTTCTATTAACAGCTTATTTTATTGATTAAAATTTCCATTTTTATTTTTATTATTCCTTATCTTATTATTATTATTATATATTATACATTAAATATATACATTTAATAATTCTTTTTTTAAAAGTGACATTTTCCAGTTCCATTTGTTACTAATAACTAGATTGAATTCATATTGTTCATCATAAATAATTCGCAACGTGAATCGTGAATTATATTTGCTGATAATATAAAACAATAAATTATATCATGAATATTATGAATTGGTTATTATTTGCAGGCAAATTGCAATACAATTTGTAAACTATATATAGATTAAATATATATAGATATATAGATTATAGATTATATAGATTATGTAGATTAGATAAAAATGATGATTAATAAAAAAAACATAGAAAAATATTGATAATTAATAAGAAAAAATTAAAAATTAATTTTCAAAGAGAGAAAATTGCATTTGAAAATTTGCTTTTTGATTGTATGTATTTAATCTCAATTTTCTCAAAAATAAAGATTTGAGCAATGAAATTTTTTCTTTTTTTTTCAATTTTTAAATTTTATTCTATATTTTTTACTTATTTATATATATGGAATAACATTCTTCAATCCAACTTACATTTAAAAAATTTGATTAATTTCAAAAAATAAATTTATTATATAGATTTATTTCGAAAATCTTTTTTCATGAGTAATCATTGTTCGATTATACATATCACGAACAATAATGGAATGCATTTATTAACATGTTATAAGCAATTAAAATTAAAGATCGTTAAAGATAGCTTTATCTCATTTTATATCTGATACTTCATCTAATGCAAAATTAAATTACTTATAACTTAATAAATAAATTTTAATCGACATATATATTAATTTTTATGTTTATATTTTAGCTTCTAAATTTGGTTCTTCAAAGATGATCCTCCACGAATATATTAACACTTTATTATCTGACATTGAAATCCGGTTTTAGTATAGTTTTTGTTTCACAAATAAATTTCATATGTAAGTTATTCACTAAAAAAATGTAGGTATGATATAAAAAAATGAATTAAAAAACATTTTTGAACTTTACGAAACTGAATAGTTCTTGATTGTTAATAAAAAAAATTAATTATTTTTTTAAAATTATATTTATATTAAAACACAACTCAATTTTTAAAACAGTATATGATAATAAAATAGTTTCAAATAAATATAAATACAATATGTAACGTGTATATATATATATATATATATATATATATATATATATATATATATATATATA